GTATAAATAATAAAATAATTATTAATTATATATATCTACTTAAGTTGATTATTTTAGGCATAAGCCTAAGCGACTATTATATGCTTCACAAAAGAGAACAAATAACACAGGTTCTACTAGAAATAAATTTGGAGTTATTCTCTAATGATTTAGATATAACAAAATCTGTAATCATTAATTTACCATCGTCCACTAATATATTCTTATAATGAAGATCACAATAATCAATATTTACATTGTATAAATACTCGAAATATCTTCTGCTATTCTAATTTAGTTTCTTAATATAATTCTGAAAAATGATTTCTTAAATAGTTACGAAAGTCACCATTTATTACCGAATTGAAGAGCTATATAGTATTTTCGGTGTTCAGATATTGTGTAATTCCAAGAATCATATTATATTATTATGATATGCAACTATTGAAAGATTTATAATCACTTTGATAATATATCTTGCAAAATATCATTATTCTGAAAAATAATTTCTTAAATAGTTACAAAGGTTACCATTTATTAGTGAATTGAAGAGCCATATAGTATTTTCGGTATTCGGATCTTGCGTGATTCCAAGAATCATATTATATTATTATGATGCAACCATTAAAAGATTTATAATTTCTTTGATAATATATCTCGTGAAATATCATTATCATCGCAATCTAAACTCTTTATAGCTATAATTTTTTAACATCTCTTGAAAGAGCACTTTATACAGTGCCAAACTCTCCTCTACTAATTCTTTTCTAGTCCTGAAAAGAATTATACTTAAATGATCTTATATATCTTTATTCAATGAATAGCTTGTTAATGAAGTGGCTAAGCATTCATTATTGTGAGATCGGATGTTAGATGCATTCATTCTAGTGCTATTGCGAGATCAAATAACTTTGTGGATCAAATGCTTAGAGGAGGCCAAAAAACACGTGTTTTTTAAGGGTCCTTTTAAAAATAACAGGTTTACATAGATATTATATAATAGACTAGTAATAAAACAGTGATATTTTATAGAACTGAACCTTACTTATAAGGTGCTTAAAATTGCAAAACTAACTTTATATAAATTTTTAAGTTAGTTTGTGCTAGTTTTGGTTTTTAACAAATTAAAATTTATTAAGCCAAACTTTTAGTATTTACTACAGTATATAACTGAGAAGTTGAGAAATTTGATATTTTTATAAAACTATATATAAAAAATTACTTTTACTAAAATGCACCTATAGTATTTTATATCTATATATTCAATATCTTAAACTAACAAATTAATTATTAATAGGTGGCATAAGTAAAAATGTTTTATACCCCTAAAACCCTTCTCTAACCCTAAATCTAACCTTAAGTTCTAATTTCAAAATAAACTTTTCACTTAAAAATTTTGAATACAAAAACTTATAAAAGCTTATAAAAATAAAAAAACAATAATATATATAATAGGTGCAAAATCACTACAGGTATATTTTATAATAAACATAAAAAATAACAGAATTTAAAAAAATAATTTATAAATTCTATTCGATATCTAAAATTGTATCTCTATTCTCTATATTTAATTTTGAAGAAAATTGATTAGAAATATCTTCATATATTCTACCTAACTGCATTTTACTATTTGATTTATAATAATTTTTTTTATGTTGAGCTAAAAAGGATAAAGTTAGAAAATAAGGATTATATATATTACAACACAAATGTTGATATGAATCACTAGAAATAGATAGACAATGCTGATCAAAATTTGGAATTTTTAGTATATCGAAATACTCAAGTATGTAAATGGGATTTAAATAATAGTTATCCAAACCCTTTGTTACTGGTAATAAAAATCCATTAGTTGGTGCTAATAAAAGAGTAATATCATCATATCTCATAGGTTTACAATACTCTAAATCACTACATTTTCTAATATCTAGTGAATATCAACATATTTGAGTATACTTTTCAATTTAGCACTATGAGACAGAAGATATAGCTTGCTGAGATTCATAAGGAACATATTCAGTATAAACTAAATATCTATTAATATGATCTTTTCACCACAATTCACATAAAATATCACCTGAATAAGCAAAGTTTCTTTTTGCTAATTCATCATTAATCACTTTTTCATTTTCTAAATAATTTTTATATTTATCATCGGGGAGAGTAATATCAGCAAGTTTTCCTGATAAAGAAGCCATGCTTCTTTCTACTATCACATCTTGTAACTAATGGCTTTAGTTTTAGTAGATCTTGTATTTTCTGAAGATCTTCCATATGAGTTGATGCAGCAGTAGGTACCCATAATTCTGGACATATAAATATACTTAATTGACCTGTTCTTATTTGTTCATTTGTTTCCATTAGATCAATTATTAAATAGACTGAAGATATTAGTTTATGTTTTGAAGCTACTGGAAAGTCATGATTAGAAATTTTAATAGGTTGGTTTTTACTTTGTATAGTCGAAAAGGTTCTTCCAACAGCTAAAATTCCTAAAGGTACTTTAGCTTTGTCATCTTGCGATATAATAATTGCTTCACTAGAAAATATTTGAATAAATTGCTTGACACCTTTTACAGATGCTAAGCAATAATAACTATCTTCATGAAATAACATTTCATTTCTAGCAACAGCAACATTTTGAATTAGAGTAGGATGATGATGATGATTTGCTTGTTTGGAATTAGGATAATGAGGCATGAGGTAAGTTTGAAGACATGACTTTGAAAGATATTGTTGATAATTTTCTTCCATTGCTTGTCTAAGATGTGTTAATATTCTTATTTTAATCCACTCTTTTCTTCTCCGATTATCTGCTAAGCCAAATTCCACACAAGCATGTAATTGATCAAGTATGATGGTCGTCCAGATAAATCATATTGTTCTACAATATTTTGCTCCAACAATTGATGTTTACGCTCTCTTACACGACCTTGTGTTAAGGCATGATGTTTTAAATAATTAATACGTTTAGTTTTTTCATTTACAATTCTCTTTTCTTGACTAATTTTGGTTTCTAAATCTTTCTTTATTGAGTTATCATTAGCTATGTCAAGAAGTCGCATATATTCTATGTTTTTTTTTCAGCAGTTTCTTTGTTTTTTTAGCTTCTAATTGTGCAATAGCATTAGAAGGTATATCTGATTTTTGTGGTATTGTTGTAGTAATGGATATGTTATTTGTTTGTAAGGAACTAGATGCTAAAATTTCTGGTCTTGGTCTTGAGGTCTGAAACTTAAATTTTGTCATATCTATAGGAGTTCTATAATAGTTTGCAATAATTGTATGTAATTCATTTTCTTTTTTCTTTTTAACTTTGGCCCATTCTACATTTGACTCTTCAAGTAACATTTTTTTATTAGGTAATAGATTACTAGTTTTAATCATTTTATAGTACTAAAAAACATTACAAAATTTTTGATAGATATGTGGTTCATTTTTGTACAAATATTTTTTTTCGAATTTTGGACAAGTTAAAAAAACCTGCATAGTTCTAAAACTTGGTTTGATTATTTAAAAAGACTTGACAAGATAAGAATTATAAAATTGAGTGAAATAAGCGTTTGTAATTATTATAGGTTTAAGATTTTCTTTATTTAAGAGAGTGACACAGAGCTTTTTGATACACGATCTCAATAATATCCTACTCTATTTATAAGAAAATCCAGCAAACAAGAAAGAAGTTTTTAGAATATCTACGTACATTGACCTTATTGTCTTTACATTACTTTACCCTTTTTAGCTAACCTTTATTTCATATTTTCTATCATTAGCATTTCAAAGAACCAAACCTCATATCAACATACACCGTTCACAGCCTTTACCTATTCATCATCTATTAAATGCAAGCCTCTTTTACCCTTTCGAATCAACTCATTACCCCTTGCATACAGCCTTGGTCATTGAAGCCTCCTATTGAAAGAAGAAAAAATGCAAGTGAAAGGAAAGGCGCTCACACCATTATTAACGTTCTTCATTGACCCATGCATCCTCTTTCTTCCACTGCCACATGCCTAACCTTACAAGTTAAAATTACCTTGATATCTGTCAATCGAATCGGGTATGGTGCTTGGCTTGCACAAGATCGGTGTAGGTACGTTTATGGGGCCTGGCTCTAACTGGTTTACACAAGAGATCGCCATTCGAGGTCTAGAGGTTATACGATAATCCTTATACGACCAGGCAACGTTTGTCAGATTTTTTGAGATCTTGGGATTGCGGATCTGCCAATAACAATATTTAAAAAAATGATTATGTACAGCAGTATATATGAGATATAAAAAATAAAGTAGCTGCGCGATGCTGTCACACGAAACCAGGAACATATGGCCGATAATTTATTGAATAGATGTTTTAACGGTAAACAAATTTTTTTATTATGATGAGTAATCTAGCATGATTTAGTTATGACCAGTGGGAGAGACTTGTATCGGCGGAGCCAATTTACCAAAGGGTTGTAAGCATTAATAGTAATAAACCGAATATTTTATTAACACACAGAGGCACCAGAAATTACTAAACCAATGTGTCCCAAACACTAATAGTTCAAATATCCCTAGTCACTAACCAACCTAGTACGTTCCAAACGCACTAAAACCAAATAACCCTTCCAAACGAATATCCAAAAGACCAACTAAAAATCTAACAAAAACTAAAGAACTAAAATACATAGAGTTCTATATATATCTATGAATAAACTCTAAATAAGCTATAGACTATCTAAAGACTAATTAAAGTATGCTCTATACTTCGCATAAACTATTTAAATGTTACACAAAAGTATACCGAAAGTATAATGAAAGTATATTGGTTATACAAGCAAAGTTTAAGTATGAAACTTTGTTGCGTAAAAATGTTCATAAAATCAACCGGATTTGAATGCACTCTAATACTAATAATCATAAAATACCTTTAAATTAATTGCCGAAAATGGCAATGTAAGATCCATTTTTCAGATCTAGAAGCTATTGTATGCACAGCCACAATAAATTAACTAGATTTATCTCACGATAGATCTGTAGACTAATGTAATAAATATTAATCTAACCAGAATTTCAATAATTATATAACGTGATCGGAAAGGCAGGTAAAAGCATAACTAAAAAAAAGGATGCACATACAATGATCACGCTGTACAATAGAATTCGAGATTTCGAACGCAGCAACTTGTCTGTAAACCATACACTTCGTTTCACTACATTCCTGGTAAAAAAAATATTAGAGGTCACCTGGGGGGTAGCCTTATATGAAATAGAAAACACGTGTTTTCTGGCCCTCCCCTTAAATTGTAGGTTTGGCCTTTTATGGGCTGTAATGAATGTTGTACTGTTCTGGATCAGGTTTTTTTTTTTTTTTTTTGGTTTAGTTTATGATCGCATATTTCTATAGTTTAACTCGGCACGAAATACACAATAAATTGTTTTTATTATTTTTA